AAGGCCAAGCCCGCACAGCAACTTTGCCTCCGAGGGAGACTCCCTTCTCCGCGCAGGAGGCGAATGACGGCGGGGGATGGCGCACCGTGCGCCCAAAGCAGCACACACATCCATTCATCAACGTCGCACTGTTGCCGATTCCACGACGGCAGAGTGTTGGGCCGCTGAGAAAGTGCACCTTGCCCGGCGACGGCGCCACGATGGGATCACCACCGCTCGGATTTTGTCGTACAGCATGCGGCTTTTGGCGCTGCGGCAATGACGGACTGACGCGCCACCGCACGGCATGCCACGGGCGTCGACCGGACGTCGTGCAAACCGGCCGATGTGAACTGTGCGAGGAGAGGAGTCCGCACCTACTCCGCTGCCCGGCTCGGCAGGCGCCCGGACAGAAACGTGGAGTGGACACTGGGGAAGTGAGTAATCTGTGCTTCACCAGGGAGTTGGCGCGGTTCCCCCTGGATGCAGAAAGGCGCCAGGCCCGTCGCGGCTGCGGCAGGACGCCGATGCTTGTGGCAGGTAGTTCCTCTCCTCTTTTCCTTGTTGTTAGATGGTGTTGCGAAACTATCTGCCATTGTACTGATTCTCGAGCGAGTGCGCTAGGCCGGGCGGATGCGTCGCGGGGTTGTGTTTCACGCCGCCTGCTGCAGCGCCACCTCCGGGGACCGCGGCTTTCCTTCAAGTCCTCACTCAGCAGGGCGGACGTTCACTGCGACGGTGGCTGGAGTGCAGACCATGGGACGTATTTGAGAAGACACAAGGAGTGGCAAAAAAGCGTTGGCTGCGGATCGCCGAGCCACCGCGGCGGCGTGCTGTCGGCTTCTCCGCCGCCCTGACCCCTTCACCCGCACCGTCCCGGATTCGGGTGGGGCGCAGTGGGTTGGCTGACGGGCATTCGTGTACTCGCGTGGCTGCGTGGCACCGCGTGGCTGTGTTGTTTCTGGTTGTCGCCCGAGCTGTTTGTGTCTGCTGATCGGTGTTACTACACACTCTCTCCGCCCTTTTTTCCTTTGCCTAGACTCTCACACCGTAAGCGACCATGGCGAAAAAGAAGCTGCCGACGCTGAAGCGGAAGCTGAGGCGGGTTGCCGTGCTGCTGATTCTCTTCATTGCGGTCACGAATCTTCTGTCCCTCAGCTTTGTCCCCGCTGACGATGATGTTGCACCGGCACCCAACAACCTCCGCTACCCGCGAGCCTCCGCAGTGGACGACGCAGCGCTTGCTTACATCCCACGCCGTGTTGTGGATACGTGGAGCCGGCGGGAGTATCTGATTGTGCTGGGCATCCCCTCCACGGACGACGAGGCGAGGCGAACACGACGCAACCTGCAGCGGTCGACGTGCTGGCGGTTCCCCGGAGTGGCGACGAGGGCGAACGACTTCACCGGTGCGATGCTTGTGCTGTACGTCCTTGGGCGGCACCCGTCGCACGGCTACGACTACTCTGCCGCGCTGCTGGAGGAGGCGTCGCAGTGGAACGACGTGGTTGCGCTGCCAATGAACGAGGGCCGCGTGACGACAAACAAAAAAATTGGTCACTACGGATGTCTGGGCGATGAGGCGGATGTGGCTTTGACCCGAAAGGTTTACATGTGGTTTGACCTTGCGCACCGCCTGTTCCCGAACGCGAGTTACATTGCGAAGGGCGATGACGACATGTTCCTCCGTGTGCCGCTGTTTGTTGCTCACCTGCGCCTCCTGCCGCGCCGAGGGATCTACATGGGCGTCCACATCGGTACATCCAGTTTTGAGGATAAGGGCTTACCGGGCAGCACATTTATGGTTGGCTGGTGCTACACCTTGTCGAGGGATGTGGCGGAGGCGTTGGTGTCGTACGAACCGCTGCGGCGCCTGGCATACCTGCCGTACAGCAAGGAACGTGACCACGAGTTTGCACTGCTCCGGTTTCACTACGAGGACAACATGGTTGGTTGGGTACTTGAGAAGGAAGTGAAGTACAAGCCAATGTTATACGTCAAGGTGCTGGGTTGTCATTTCCATGACGCTCGCAATGAAACGGGGCACTCGCAGGTGGTGCCGACCTCGATGTGTGTCCATCACGTGCAGGAGGACGACTACGCTGCGCTGATGGCGCGCTTCGGCAACGACACATCGCCTGTCGCCCGTGTGGAACGTGCCTCAGAAGACGTGATATACCCGTCGTGCGATTGACAAATGGACGAAAAGATTTGTTTCCTGTGCGTGTTGAATCCTAATTTATTGCTTAATTGGTTGCTGCACCCCGGTTCGTGCCCTGTGTGCTCCGTGGCCGAACGACGTGGAATGTGTCATTGACCGCCCCGTGCCCCCGTGGAGCGTACCACTCCCCGCACTCGACCCGCGTGCGTGTGTGCTTCTGCTGGGGGCACATGATGAGAATGTGCGTGTGTGTGCTGGGCCGCCAATGAACGATGTATGTGAGTCTGTGCTTTTTTACATGTTATTAGGAGCTTGTTAATAAAATAATTGTGGGCAAGCTAAATTAGGTAATGTATATATCCTGCTAAAACGAATATACACTTCTTTGCGACAGTTTTCTATCTCACCACTTTAAGGGCATCAGGGAGCCGACAGCGGCCGGATAATCTTTTATTTTTATTTTACCTTCCCACCCGTCCCCTTTTGGTTCCCACCACGCAGCGGGGTCTTGTGGCCGCAGGACCCAAAAGTCTGCCACCTCGCATTTAATAAATAAATATATGTATCCTATCCGAATAGAGTGAACGGGCCACGATTGAGGCTAACGGATGGTATATGTATAAACATACAGTTACCTGGTGTTAAACTTTGAGGGTGTGGTGAATCCACTCTTATTCCGTTCATCCCTTGTTATTCGTATCTGGTTTGGTTTCTATTATTGAGCAACTCAGGATCCGGCCAGCGGCCCAGAAGATTATTCTAAAGTTTTGTTGTTTTGTTCTTTTTACACGAATGATATTTAAGCGAGTACGCCATGGGTTTAAAGAGCGCAAACATATATTTGGCATGACAGAGGGAAGGCGCAGCGTCCAAACCCGGCAGTATTGCCGAAGGTAGGAGGGGGCGGCAGCAAGGTTGAAAAATGAAGATGATGAACGAGGGGGAAATAACAGGGGAGGGAAGCAGAAAACAAGTCAAAAATATTGTGGGCACAACGCTCTTTCTTACCGTGGGCGATCGACGCCGCCATTGGCTACTAAGTTACCCACTGAAAGTGACACCCGTTTTCGCTGAATATGCTGCGTGCATATCTGTCGGGCTCTTTGTTTATTCTGTTGGTTTGTTTGTCTCCCGCACATTTATTTCTCCGTGACGCCTGACTCGTTCTTTTATTATTTCCCTCCCTGTTTTTCTGCGTGCACCGAGAGAAGGGCTCGGGGACATGAAGTACGCTCCCCTTCTGAGACATGCCACCAAAAACAGAGGGAGAAAAAAATAAAAGTGAAGTGGGGAGGGGAACCATCGCCACGCGTCATTTTCCCCGAGAAGGCTGCTTGCCACGCCACTGAGGCGCGCCGTGTGCTTCACGAGGCCCGCTGGACTCGATTGGGGTGCCGTGAGTGACGGTGCGTGTGAGTGTGGCGGATGCGTCTCCCAGACGTCCCCAGAGGATCCTCGGGCCATTGGGACTGCGTGGAATGCGGGAGTCCGCGGGGATATTTTCCCGTTTTGTTTTTATTCCTCCATCGGCCTATCCCAAACCTCAACACGGCGGCTGAGCCAACGACTGCGACGGGATCCGTTGCGTATTTCTGGATCTCTCTTGCGTTGCAGCGACAGGCTTGGTGTGTCCTGCTCGGCAGACACGGTGGACGGAAGTGGGCTGCCCTATCGGGAAAACGATGGTCACGGCGGAGCGTGTTGCGTACTTCGCAATTTGGCGTGTTTGTGGCGATCCTTGAGGATGATGTGACGGCGCCTCTTTTACTTGCAGGGATAGAAGCGACGCTCCACGGTGATGCACACGTTGCGGGTGGAGGCTTCTCTTGCTGTTATTTTGTGAATGTTTATGTTTTGCTTGAACACCACAGAGGGCGGTGTCTGCGGACAGCAGAGCATTGCGAGGAGGGGCATCACACGATTTTTGGCGCGATGAGGCGGCTTCTGTGACTTTACGGTGTTTATTTTCAGGACTGAAAGACTATCCTTTGTTGGAATGTATTGTGGGAGACCTTCCGTGTTTTTTTTTTAGTTAATCCCTTGGCATTTGGTGTCTGCCGTGAAACAGATGTTGATGGCCTTTTTATGGCAGTGAGATGCATGTTTATTTAATTAATTGGCGAGTGGGTGAATTGTGTTGCGTTCTGTTGTGCGGCTTGTTGCTGATGGCACGTGGCCGCAGGGAGACGTTGTGAGCGCCTCCGACACGAGGTGCGATTGAGCAGTCACCTCCTCCGCTCGCCGGTACACGCTGTTGAGGCGGCGTGATGATAATGAATCGGCTTCCCAGAAAAGCAACGAGAGGACGTTTGTTCTTCCTGCTGCGGTGTTTGAGTGAACTCCCAATCTGTGGGTGGGGTTGCCCTGTGTGCCGTATTTCTTTGAATTCCATGAGTTTTTTACATCGCCATCCACACGCACATGCACGCAATCCCCCTGTTTGCCCTCCTGTGGGCGGAAGACCGGGATGCAAAGGGAAAAATGTGGCCCGTACCAGCATGTGGTAAAGTCTTTCTTGGGCGGGATTGCGACTGTGATGCACGTCCTGGCAGGCGGGAATGGGATGGGAGGGGAGCGGAGGGGCAAGTAACAACGATAGTGTGCGGGGCAATGCGCAGTGACTAGGGCGAAGTGGTATTTATGTTAGGTTTTAAAAATATTTTTGTCTTTTTCTTTTGTGGCAATGGAAAGAAACTTTGGGTGATGAGTTGTGGATTATTTGCACATGATTGAGTGCGGCAACACCATTCGCGGAGAAAC